CGCTAAGCGGTTTTTTGTGGACATGGGATTTGATTGTCCTGATAGGCAAACCACAGCAGACTTTCTCACCTCGCTAACCAGTCCTACGGAGCGAAAAGCTCGCGAAGGGTTTGAACACCTGGTTCCCCGAACACCCGACGAATTTGCCTCTCGATGGAAAGAGAGTGCGGAAAGAAAGCAACTTCTTGCCGCCATCGAGGCTTTTCAGGCTGAATTCCCTCTAGAAGGAGACAAATACGAAGAGTTCTCGCGGTCTCGCGCGGCCGAGAAGGCAAAAGGAACAAGAGCCAAGTCCCCTTACACACTGTCCTACCCTATGCAGATTCGCCTGTGTCTTCGACGAGGTATGCAGCGCTTGAGGGGAGATATGACCATGACTCTTACTTCAGTTATTGGAAACAGCATCATGGCCTTGGTTGTTGCCAGTGTATTCTATAATTTGGACACCACTACCAACAGCTTTTTCCAGCGTGGCGCCCTCCTGTTCTTTGCCATCCTTCTCAACGCGTTTGCAAGTGCCTTGGAGATTTTGACTCTGTGGCAACAGCGACCGATCGTGGAGAAACATGATAAATATGCGCTCTACCACCCGTCTGCGGAAGCAATCAGTTCCATGCTAGTGGACTTACCGTCGAAACTCATAGTGTCGGTGGTGTTCAACATAATCCTCTATTTCATGTCTAACCTACGCCGTACGGCGGGTCACTTCTTTGTGTTTTATCTCTTCTCCGTCACTGTGACGCTCACCATGTCCAACATCTTCCGCTTTACTGGCGCCGTCTCGCGGTCTATGGCTCAAGCGATGGTCCCATCGTCCATCTTCATGATGATCCTTGTCATCTACACAGGTTTCACAATTCCAGTGCGAGACATGCATCCTTGGTTCCGGTGGTTGAACTACCTGAACCCGATTGGCGTACGTCTACCTAAACTCCGAGTTTTAGGTGTTCCACTAATAAAGCAACAGTATGCCTTCGAAAGCCTGATGATCAACGAATTCAGTGACCGCCAATTTCCCTGTGCACTCTACGTCCCTTCTTATAGCGATGCACCCCTGAGCTCCAAGATCTGTAGTGTTAACGGCGCAATCGCGGGACAAGACTTCGTCGATGGGGACAGATTCATCAATGTCACTTACCAGTACTATCGCTCGCACTTGTGGCGCAACTACGGCATTATCTGGGCATTCCTTCTGTTCTCCCTAGCCTGCTACGTCATCAGCAGCGAGCTGGTTCGCGCCAAGCCCTCAAAAGGTGAGATCCTCGTTTTCCCGCGGGGGAAGATGCCGGCATTCATCAAAAAGAAACAACCGGGCACCAGCAGCGACGTAGAGAGCCACGCGCCAATGGCCGAAGAGAACCGGCTAGCCGCAGAAGAGAATCACGATCCGGACCAACATACCGCAGCGATTGTTAAGCAAACATCGATCTTTCAATGGCAAGATGTCTGTTACAATATCAAGATCAAGGGCCAAAACCGCACCATTCTCCACCACGTTGACGGATGGGTCCAGCCCGGAACGCTGACAGCGCTGATGGGCGTGACGGGCGCTGGAAAGACCTCTTTGCTCGACGTGCTGGCAAACCGCGTTACCATGGGCGTCGTGACGGGCGAAATGCTGGTCGACGGGCGCATGCGCAATAACTCCTTCTCTCGCAAGACGGGCTATGTTCAACAGCAGGACTTGCACCTGGAGACGAGTACCGTGCGCGAGGCCCTGATCTTCAGTGCAATGTTACGCCAACCGGCCAGTATCCCGCGTACGGAAAAGATCGCATACGTTGAGGAAGTAATCAAGATGCTCAATATGGAAGCATACGCTGAAGCAGTTGTGGGCGTCCTGGGCGAAGGTCTGAACGTTGAGCAGCGCAAGCGACTGACTATCGGGGTGGAGATTGCCGCGAAACCAGACCTCCTTCTCTTCTTCGACGAGCCCACTTCAGGTCTTGACAGTCAGACGGCATGGTCTATCTGTTCCTTGATGCGTAAGCTAGCAGACCACGGCCAAGCAATCTTGTGTACAATTCACCAGCCGTCGGCGATCCTCATGCAAGAGTTCGATCGACTTCTCTTCCTGGCGAAAGGAGGACGGACCGTCTACTTTGGCGAGCTGGGGCCGAACATGGAAACACTCATTAAGTACTTTGAGGACAAGGGATCCGCAAAGTGTCCACCCAACGCCAACCCCGCCGAGTGGATGCTCGAGGTGATCGGAGCCGCCCCAGGGTCCCATGCTGATAAAGACTGGGCCGATGTCTGGAATCAGAGCCCCGAGCGCATGCAGGTGCGTCACGAACTTGCACAGATGAAGGCGGAGCTTCTGCAGCGGCCACCCCCTCCGCAAGTGACTGGGTACGGGGAGTTCGCGATGCCGATCTGGGCGCAGTTCGTCCTGTGTCTGAAGCGCATGTTCCAGCAATACTGGCGCAGCCCGTCGTACATCTACTCCAAGGCCGCCATGTGCATCATTCCTGTACGTCACTTACTTCCTCTGTCTCTACAATCACTAATTGGACTCATCACTAACCATGACCGATACAGCCTCTCTTCATCGGTTTTACCTTCTGGCGCGAGCCGACCAGTATCCAGGGCATGCAGAACGAGATGTTCGCCATCTTCATGCTACTAGTGATCTTCCCCAATCTCGTGCAGCAGATGATGCCATACTTCGTAAGCCAGCGGTCGTTATACGAGGTGCGCGAGCGCCCGTCCAAGGCCTACTCGTGGAAAGCGTTCATGCTCGCCAGCATCCTCGTCGAGCTCCCTTGGAACATCCTCATGGCCGCGCCCGCCTACTTCTCGTGGTACTACCCGATCGGATTCTACCGTCACCTCCCCGCGGGCGCGGTGACCGACCGCGGAGGTACCATGTTCCTGCTGATCCTGGTCTTCATGATGTTCACCTCCACCTTCAGTTCCATGGTGATCGCCGGGATCGAGCAGCCCGAAACCGGCAGCAACGTTGCCCAGCTGTTATTCTCCTTCTGTTTGATCTTCAACGGGTGAGTCTACTCCTCAAACCTCCTTCTCATCTGAATCAGTATCAGTATCAGGATCAGTCACGCTAACGCAAACCTTACTCATCAGCGTCCTCGCCTCCCCGACCGCGCTCCCCCGCTTCTGGATCTTCATGTACCGCGTCTCCCCCTTTACCTACCTCGTCTCCGCGATCCTGAGCGTGGGCCTAGCCGGCGCCGAGGTCAACTGCTCCGAGATCGAGCTCCTCCACATCCCGCCGCCCGCCAATCAGACCTGCGCCGACTACCTTGGGCCCTGGGTTGCAGCCGCCCAGGCCCGCCTCCTCAACCCGTCCGACACGACCCCCTGCCGCGTCTGCGCCTACTCGACGACCGACCAGTTCCTGGCCACGCTGAGCATGTCGTTCGCCGACCGCTGGCGCAACATCGGCTTGCTGTTCGTGTATGTGGTGTTCAATGCGGCGGCCGCGGTGTTCCTGTACTGGTTGGTGCGGGTGCCGAAGCGGTGGGGTAAGAAGGTCAAGCAGGAGTGATTGATCTTTCTTGCTTGCTTGTTGCTGAGGGGTAGGTGTTTTGGTCATCGTTTGGAATCGGCTCGTTTGTTGGGGTTTCTTTTTCTGCTCGGTCTTGGTGAGGATTTGGGGCTGTGTCTGTGGCTGTACTGTATGTTTATGGGGGTGATGTGGGTGGGCCAGCTAGAGTCTTGCTCCATTTCGGTCTTAGGAGATAGAAACAACTCGTCTCTTTTTGATGGAGTATAAGTGTCCGTGTAGGTAAATGGCAAGTGTCAGGTCAGTGCAGTTCAAAGTTATGGTGTGGACCTTTCAACTGTCTCTTCCACGGATGCGCGGGCGGTAGGAGTGGGGCAAGTCCGGTCCCTCGTAACTGTATCTTATCTGGGCTTGGTTCAAGAGCAGTGATTCCCCGCTGAGGTCGGTGATATACGTGGTAACTTACAGTACCGTACATATCTACAGTAGAGCTTAGTGCTAAGTTACTGCTGGCTCCCAGTAAGTTCCAGTCCCTGGGCCAAAAAAAAAACAACGGGGAATTAGTTCTATGGGACGTCCCAACACAGGATCATCCTAGAACGGGCGTCGGATCCCAGCAAGCAAGCAAGCAGCAAGCAAGCAATGGTCAGCAGTCACCTGGTGACACGGGAAATGATGTCAATTCGAAGCGGCGAGGATCAAAAGAGGGTTGCTCGAGATGCTGCACGCCCACAGGCATGATTCGCATGAGACGCGCGTTTGTCGCGGGGCGTCCGTCCCCTTCGGAAACTGCCTGGGAACTCGCCCGGAACGTTCAGCTGGCGGGAATCAACGAAAATGATGATACTGAGCTAGTAGTCACGATAAGGTACCTTAAAACGGAGTCAACGGAAGGAGAAAGAGGAATGATGTAATTACACGAACAAACCAATGGGCTGCGAGGAACGGAAAGCAAAATGCCTCCGATGGGAAATAATAATAAAGCACTTTCCACATCTACACCTGGCAGAGTACTCAATAGTCTAGCTGAGCTGCGGCAACTGACAGGCAGGAAGTAAGTAAGTTATGAGTCAGTTTAGCTGCAGTGGTGGAGTCACTGGGGCTGCACCGCTTCTTTTCCACTTTCCGAACCACATCTTACCGCCGTGGACAAGGAAGAAACCCGGATTTCTTCCGAAAGTTCCTTGAGCCCTATGGGTTACGTATTGCAGTGACAGGATAAAGAAGCGGTGGCCGATGTCGTACCGCGATAGTAAAAGCGCCTTGCCAGATATCCATGATCCCTGTGTATACTCACCGAAGCGGTCGGATGCATTCCCAGCACAGCCAACCCCTCAGCCACCGATGAACGCCTCGAGGTATCTAGTTGCCGGTCTCTCGAAATTGTCGAAATTAAAACGTACGATGATGAATATTCAGCCATCGGTCGCGAAACCTTCGTCTTCTGATAATCACCAATCTGACCTTTCCCTTTATGGTGTGAATAGTCGAGCCCAGGTCGATCCTCAAACCCCCCCCCCCCTCCCCGTTAGTTGGTTTCATAACAGAGATACCGATCTGTCGAATCGCTGCATAGCGCGGGAGTTGTCGCGTGGTCCATCGGAACCATTTTGGCCCCCAAAAAGAAAATAGGACGAAGTGGAGAGCAACCGCTGCTTCAAGCATACCGAATGTTCAACTATACTTCAAGTTGTAAAAGGGGCAAAGAAATGTGGACCCTTTGCCATGTCTAAGGGATGATATCAGGAATCCTTGGCGAGTCACGATAATGATGAGAATAATTATTCCGTAGGTACTTACATCTCAAGAGGATGACCAAGGTGCTAACGGAAGACACACGATCCGTGAGCCTGTCAGACGTTTAGCGGGTAACGGTACGCCTGGAGAATGAGGTCGGAGCGTCATTATTATTTCCAGGTGGGACATGCATGCCAAAAGCGTATCAAAAGACAGCGTGGCGCGGGTTGATGCGGTGCGTGCCTCGCCGACAGGGTCAAATCGCGCCTGGGGAAAAGCCAACAGGTGCGCAAAGAGGCAACCAGTCATAGTCACCACGCAGCTGAATGAAGTGGTGATGATCGCTGTGGATTTTTACCTGTTTGAGACCCCCTGCATGAGCGATACCGAATGAGCGCTGGTGGTGGAGACCGACTTTGCTCAATGACTCGTTATTGAAGGTTGTGGTTGGTGCGGAGGCGATAATAAGTCAACGCTGGCAGGCAGATGGGCCCAGGGGTGGGTTTTGGCCCCCGACAAGTCAAGTTAACTAAACCCTGTTGGTATGGTTTTGCCCAGCTAACGCCGACTTAGCGCAACACTGCCTATCAATTAAATTGAGGCTGAATGGCAGGCACTCTGGGGGCTCTGGGGGAGACTCGTCGGGCACAGAAGGAGCATCCCCCCAGATCCAATCAATCAGTGGAAACTTGGAATGTGCACGCATGAAAACTGGGCTGTGCGAGCCACGAGGGATTGGAATGCTTCCTTCTGTGCAGTAAATTTAGATGATAACAACAGTTTGCTTTGTTCCAGAGACTTCTCAGGAAAAGATGTGCGCGATAATCCCAACAAACTGACAGGGGGGGGGACCCTTCATAGCGTGACTGAACTGAGCGTTAGTGTCAAGAAAAGTATATTGGGAAATGGGAAATGAAAACACGAAAATCCAAGGACACGGAGGAAATGAAAATGGATCGTCCAGATGTCCAGAACCTGAAGCCCGGGCTAGATGCCGCTGCAGGGGTTTCCTGCTTTGGGTCTCTCGAAATGCAATCATTAATCCATCCCGCAAACAATTTCGACGAATAATCGCCCGGCCCATTGAGCCTATGCGGCTCAACAATGGCCTTGACTCTGGGCTCTTTTCGGGCTACAGTGCCCCATTTCCCGTATCATAGCCATGTGGTCGTCCAGCTGAAAGATAAATGCCCCTGGCTGCCGCGACACATGAGCCAAACATTTTCTTTCCGACTGTGTTGTGGTCCTGTGTACAGACAAATTACATAGTTCGAAGCGAGTTCTTGCTTGCTTCTTCATTTCCATATCATGGACCATTTCTCAGCCTTCTCCGATGTTCCCCAACCAGCACCCGGGGTTAGTGTTCCCCAGGATTATGAACTGTACCCTTGCAAGTATGAGTCGTCGTATACGGACCCCACGATGAGTCAACATCCTTCAGGCCTCCAACCTCATCTCACTCCGGAAGCTATCCCTATGAAAGGTCTCTATCCCACATCTAACATGTCCTGGACGAGCATGGGAGATGATATCGACACTCTCACGACAGGCTTCTCGTCTCCCTGGAGCAGCGAGCCCACCTCTTCGCCGGCGCTGGGAAGTCCCAAGTGCAACGACACGAACTGGATGAATATGGGATGTTATATGTCTCCTCCTTATACCTGTGACGATGTCATGATACCTCCATCTGCATATGAGCCGTGCGCTTCGCCCGCTGTTGTTGACTATCTGGTGACGCCTTCACAAATCTACCCAGAACCCGAGTCCATGGTGAAGATTGAGCCTGAACTACCCTTACCGAGCACGCATGCCATATTCTCGTATCAGGGAGCCTTCTCGAACTGTGAGACCAGTTTCACAACTGGGATGTCGATCGGTGGTCAGCCGGCTAAGGAGGAGCGCGCCGCTTGTGACTCGCCAAAGTTTCAAGTCAAACCACGAAAGGCACCGAAAGCCAGCAAGAATCGCGTCACTAAACCGACTCGAAAGCCATCCAGCAAGACAAGCACCACTACGAGCGCCCGCGCTGGCTCAAGGGTAACGGCGAAGAAGAACACCCCATCACCCAGTCGAGTATATACCTGTAGCTTTTCACACTATGGCTGCCCCAGCACATTCGTGTCGAAGAACGAGTGGAAGCGACATGTGATCTCTCAGCACATTCAACTGGGATTTTTCCGATGCGATGTGGGGCGTTGTAGCTTGGACAACCTGAGCAAAGAGAGAAACCTCAGCTCACCGCACGAGCCCCTCGCCTACAACGAATCTCACCTGGTCAATGACTTCAACCGCAAAGACCTCTTCACTCAGCACCAGCGTCGCATGCATGCCCCCTGGGTGTACCGGAACCGGAAGTCGCCCGAGACCGAAGAAGAACGGGAGGCGTTTGAGCAGAGCCTGGAGGCTGTGCGGACACGATGTTGGCAAGAGCAACGCAAGCCCCCCCTTCACAGCCAGTGCGGCTTCTGTGGACAGGAATTTGTTGGTGCACACAGTTGGAACGACCGAATGGAGCACGTTGGTCGCCATTATGAAAAGGATAACCTCGAGCAGGAAAGCGAGGATTTGTTGTTGCGGCAGTGGGCTATAGAGGAGGGCATCATCCGGAGAGTGGACGGAGAGTTGAAGTTGGCTGTCTTTTGTGACAACACTAACTAACTGCCCTTTCCCTTTTGAGATGAATTCTCCTGCCCTGCTGGCTTCTCTTCTCCCCTTCTCCGATGCCTCTGGCTATTGCACTTCTATCGGTTTAATTTATGCCAGTGCCCCTTTTCTTGATGACGACACTTTACGACCTGATATCCTGTATTTCACATCTTTGGTTTAGAGGAGTATATGGTGTTTTCTTTACTGTCTGTCTGTGCGATTACGCTGTCTACCAATACCCAATACCCACTCTTGGAGCAAGAAGGAAAGAGAAATATTAGCATATCAATCGATACATCATACACATAAATCTAAGTTTCCCCAAAGTCATCCATACCTACCATTGATATTCGCCCATAGACTAGACTCGACCCACCACCGACTAACCTAGCAGTGACAATCTGTTCAACAGCCCAGTTTGGCCCCAGACTAAAACCAGCATGGTCTGATCGCCCAGTCGCCCAAACGACAACGGTTTCCACGTGGCGACCGGTTTCTAGAGCACGACTTCCCGCGGCGGGTCCCTGAGTTTGGCCCCCGAATTGATTCCATCCGCTTGGACTCTCTTCATGAAACGCAGACCGTCCGTGCGGCTGACAGGGTGAAGAACGCGGGTGGACTTATCATCGGGCCTACGGAATGTGCCCACGTGTTGGTGGCCGGTATTCTGGTCGTCGTTAGTTGAATTCCAGGTCTTCTAGAATACGGATTTCCAGCGGATCCTGGTATTCCCCGTACACTAGCGGCCTCGACATAGGAGCCCCTCGCGTTCAGTCGTCATCGGGATGCTTTGAAATCGAAACCTGGTATCTTAAGTGGATGAATGTCCGTCATGCTGCCAAGGAGCTCTCCAATTGTTTCTGTTGGCTGTCGCCTGAAAGGAGAATAATAATGTGTCAAATGTGATTGCAGTGGTACGGTAAATTGACCTTAATGTAGCCAAGCTATCTTTTCATGGTACAGAATAGGCACAATGGTATTCATGGTTTCGTCTCGAGACTGCGATTCCACGTCAGCTGGTTAACTTTTCAAACATCACCCCAACGAGACAGAAAAGGAATTCGCCAAACTCACATTAGAGTACTAACTTTTATTAGGGAATGCCTCTCCCCGGACAGCTGTGCTGCGCTCAACCCAGGGCCAACGACTGTGGTGTTTTACACAGCAGCATTGATACTCCGAAGTGGATGTCCCCCGCTATAGATGGATCGGCAGTCATGTGTTCAGCATCCCCCGCCGTGACTTCAACAGGTTGAACAACAAAACTACCACCCAAAAGCAATGCTTACCACAAACCATTGTCTGTATCTTCTGCCATCTCAACACATTTTACATCTCTCGGACCCTCATAATCAAGTCATACCGGCCCAAGATGACGCCGTACCCCTTCAACCACACTCAACCAGGCAACCCCTCAGCTAGCAAGCACAGCACAACACCAACAGACTCACAACCACCACCAGACTCCCAAGCCAGACCCCAAACCCTCACCTACACCCTTCAAAATGTCCGCGGCCGCCTGCCCAGCCCACAGGCCTCGCACCTGCGCACCCTCTTCCAAACCTCCCACCGCGATCCAACCACCATCCTCGCATTTCCCTGCACCTACGACGGCCTCTCCTCGCGCCTTGTCGCCGAATCCGGCTTCCCACTCATCTTTCTCTCGGGCTTTGCCGTGTCCAGCGCCCACGGCCTGCCGGACACCGGGTACATCGCCATGGAAGACATGTGCCACAAGATCCAAGAGACCGCCCGCATCGTCACCGACCTGCCCATCATGGTCGACGGGGACACGGGCTACGGCAGTCCCATGAACGTCAAACGAACGGTCGAGTGTTTCGCCGCCGCGGGGGCCGCCGGCGTCATGATCGAGGATCAGACCTGGCCGAAACGTACGTCCCTATCCATCCCCCTCCCCGCGGTCCCACCCAGCTCTCCCCACCCTCATGAACCACCGAATTAACAACCCCCACCAAATAAAAAAAGGCTGCGGCCACACCAAAGGCAAGTCCGTGGTACCACGGGGCGAAGCCTACGCGCGGATCCAAGCCGCCGTCGACGCGCGCAGCCAGGGCCGGGACATCTTGATCCTGGCGCGGACAGACGCCCTCATCCACGGGTGGGACGAAGCGATGACCCGGGCGAGGGAGTTCATCGCGATCGGCGCGGACGCCATCTTCGTCGAGGCGCTGCCCGACCGCGAGGCCATGCGCCGCTGTGTGGCGGAGCTGGACGTGCCCATGCTGGCGAACATCATCGAGGGCGGCAGGACGGAGAATCTCTCGGCGACGGAGCTGGCGGGCCTGGGGTTCGCGGCCGTCGCGTATCCCTGGACATTGGTGGCGGCCCGGTTGAAGAGTACGCGCGAGGCGCTGGAGGCCTTGAAGCGGAGTTTTACGGTCGGCGCGCCGCCGCAGATCCTGCGGTATGAGGAGGTTTGTGCCGGCGTGGGGTTTGAGGAATACTGGGTGAGTGGCGCTCTTTTTCGTTCTTCGGATGCAGTTGTTGCTGGGTGGTTGACTGACGCTTTTATCGGTTTAGGATGCGGAGACGCGATATGAGTTCACAAATGAGGGCTTGGTCAATCCTCGACGGGAGGAGTAATGTGTACAGTACTGCGAACTGTCTCTACGGTGTGGATCGAAACTGCAGAGTCAAGCTATAGATTCGTTTCTACAGGCCTCACAGCCGTTCGGCAAGTTGCCTTCACTTTGCACTGCCACAACGTCCGAGTCTTCCGACGTAAGGCGATCATCTCGTCGTCGAGCCGAGGTGGATCTTGTATGCAGCGGTGGGATACCTCGGCGATAAGATCTCGGTCCGGCTTACTTTATATGGTACCGAGATCCGAGCATCTCGGACGGAGAACTCATTTTAGTACTAGTCTCCTGCAACGATATCCACCACAGAGGCTTCAATGATGGTCGTGACGAATGGTCTCATGTTCTCCATTCGGAATTGTGTATATAGGGCCAGTCAAAAGCGCCAAAGAATACGCCTCTCGGAGATAGAAAGGCGTTCGTCATAGGGTGGACCACTGACCTCAGAACCGAAGATGGCAGGTGAAGGTCACCGCCGTCTGCATTTGCAGATCGCCCAGCAGCCGTGTATAAAAGCTTCATGTCCACAATAGACACGATCATCACCAGCCTCCAATACACTGCCTTTACGCTCAAAGCCCAAGCTCTTCCTACTGTTGACTCGACACCAACCACTTGTACCCAAGACCAACTCATACACACCAATCCCACCAACATGCCTCCGCACGTAAGTCTCCAACCCACCCACCCACCGCTACCTACCTACCTACAGAACATCCCCAGAAAATCTAACCTCTCCCTGGAACAAAAAGTCTCCCGAAGCCGCCGCTCAAGCCGCGCACGCCCACATCTTCAGTCAACCCACGACCGAGCCCTACCGCAACAACCCATGGGCCCTGTACCGCGCGCTCGACGAATACAGCCAGACGCGACACCTTATGAACTTCAAGGAAACCAAGCTCCGGGTCGCGAAGCAGCACCTCGAGTCCATGCAGCCCAAGCCCAAGACCGTCATCGAGTTCGGAACCTACGTCGGCTGCTCCGCCATCGCGTGGGCGGCCATCCTGCGCGACCTGCACGGGCCCTCGGCGGACAACGACATCCACATCTACACCTTCGAGGTGAGCGAGTCCATCGCCCAGGTGGCGCGGGATTTCATCGAGCTCGTGGGCCTGCAGGAGGTCGTGCACGTCCTGGTGGGACCGGCGTCCGAGTCCCTGCGGGGGCTGGTCGAGCAAGGCAAGATCGCCCCCGGCGGCGTCGACATGGCGTTCTTCGATCACTGGGAGAAGTTCTACCTCTCGGACTTGCAGCTGTGTGAGGAGCTGGCGCTGTTCCATGTCGGGTCGAAGGTCATTGCAGATAACACGGATATTCCCGGCGCGCCGGATTATCTGGAGTATGTGCGGGCTGGGGGTAAGGGAGGGGAGGGAGAGGTGCGGTATACGACTCGGTCGTTTGAGACGGAGCATGTGGTGCAGGGGCGGCCGGTAAGTGTCTTCTCTCCTGTCTCCTGAGTATATGAAGACGGATGTATTGTGGGAACTCTGTCTTTGCTGACTTATTGCTTGATATAGAATATCGTGGAAGTGACAGACGTCGTGGCCGTCCGGTCATGATGCCGCATGTGATATCAATTCTCCATTGAGATTTCTTTATAATTAGACGCAGTTTATCACGTTGACGTGTATGGCAATTCAGATTTCCGGTCAATGGACCATATCCCTGACCATTGTATTTTCCTAGAAGACCAGTTATGTGCGCTATGTAGATGTGTAGACTTGCAGACTCGATGCAGGGCTTAGATAAAGTCCCGGGAGATGCATTCAATGTGGGCAAGTGCGGAGAAAACCGCGGGCTATTTCGAGGTCCACCCAAAGGACATTCCCATCGAAAGCGGTGAGCGAGACGGCCGCAGTGGAAGACACCGGCGGCCAACAACACCTCCGCAATAATCACCTGGTATAATGATCAGAACAACAAACAATTTGATATGAAATCACGACAAAATAAGATCTTTCGTCCTCTACACATCAATTGCCAAGAATCGACGAGAAAGCGTCTGTGATGCCGCATGACCGCAGGTCCTGAAACCACTCAAAAGGACAAGATCGTCCGATACTACTCCTACGACTGACATAGCTTCTTCCCCCCTCATCACCATGTACGTCGCAACCACAATCCCAAACTCCAACTCCCAATTCCGCCTTTTTTCCTTCTCCCCACAACAAGGCAAGAGAATACCTAACGCAAAACCAAACAGGACCGTCTTCTCCCTAATCATCATCAACAAAGCCGGAGGTCTAATCTACCAGCGCGAATTCCAACCGGGCCTCCGCAAGCTCTCGACAAACGACTACCTCGTTCTCGCCGGAACCTTTCACGGGTATGAATGGACCTTTGTGTCAATGCCTCTTCCAGAGAGACGAATGCTTTGTATATCAGGCCTAGAAGAAACGAAACTAAATAACCTCTAACAGCGTCCACGCCATCACCCGCACCATCACCCCGAAACTCCCCCTCCTCACCCCAACCGCAATAGCCTCCACCCCGACCAGCGCGTCCTCCAACCTCGCCTCCCCCTCAGGCACCTCCACCCCGATTCCGCCCACGACGACGACGACGACAATAGCGGCAGCAACAACGCCATCCGTCTCCGCGTCCTCATACACATACCCGATCCTCGGCGTGCCCGCGACGGGGCTAGAGTCCCTCGAGACGGACAAGTTCCGGCTGACGTGCTTCCAGACGCTGACGGGCACCAAGTTCCTCCTCTTCACGGACCCGCACATGGCCAACATCGAGGTGGTGATGAAGAAGATCTACGATTTCTACGCCGACTTCGTCATGAAGAACCCGTTCTACCAGTTGGAGATGCCGGTCCGGTGCGAGGCGTTTGATCGGAATCTGAATGGGTGGTTGCGCGGGCGGACGTGAGGATTTCTGATTCAATAGTAATCATTCTTGCCTTTGTTGTCATAACAAGGGAAGAGGAAGAATGATTGGCCTACTGTTGGGCGTGATTCAAAGTCGATTCCTGGCGACGGAAACTTCTAATGATTGCACTGATGTATCGTGTTCCTTTTACTTTTCTTCTTTCGTGGGAGGCGTTCGTCCATCAATTCCTTTTTTTATATATGCGTTCGCGGTTCTCTCCGGCATAGGACTACGATTATGATGTTATAGAATTCCCATATAGATACCGCAAGCCTTTCTCAAAAGGATTGTCGTGTGGGCGGGGGGGTCGACTCTAGAACCCACGTTCTACAATTACAACCAAGCAGAAAAACCAGAGAAAACTTTAACGCAAGTACACATCAGAAGGAACGCCGGGTATGCATCAGAGATTGAAGAAGAAAAAAAGGAGGTCATCCACGAGGATCATTTCGAAATTTCCTCACACATTAAGCGGTGTCCATCTTGTCACCGTCATCCTTCTTGTCTTTGCTTCCGCTACCCTCACCACCCTCCTCGGGAATGCCCTCCAAGTTGACTTTGCGCTCCTGTTCCTCCCGATCCCGCTTCTCCTTCTCTTGTCGGTTCTTCTCCTCCTCGAGGGACAGACGCAGGGCAAAGGCCAGCTCGGGATCGTTCTCCGCCGCATCCTCGAAGTTGAAGCCCCCGTCCCCGCCGTCCGGACCGGCGCCACCACCGGCGCCGCTGCCGTCACCACCCAGGATCGGCGTGGCCTGGAGCTCTTCACTCAGCAGGTTGTCGCCGGGCGGGATGATGGCCAGGTGGGAGCCGTCGCCACCCTTGACGTTCTCGACGAACGCCTCGAGCTTCTTGGTCTGGTCGGATTCGAGGTCTCCGAAGGCGATCACGTCGATGGACACGTTGTTCTTCTTCATCTTCTTGGCGAGCTTCACGAGCGTCTTCTCGTCTTCTTCAATGGGGGAGCAGGAGAATACGATGATGCGCTGTCTCTGGGACTTCTCGGAGCGGTGCTTGAGGGCGAGCTATAGTTTGCCGTCTGGTTAGCTGCTTTGAATACTCATCGTGATTGTGGGAAGTTGCTGTTGTTGTTGTTGTAAGACATACACCGGCCACTTGTATGCTGGAGCCAAGGTGGGCAGTGCCACCGATCTTCGTGCGGTGCAGACCAGCCAGGATACCACCGAAGTCGGTGGTGAATGTCGACAGGACTTCGGGACCCTTTCCTCCCATGCTCATAAGCCCGACGGCGGATTGGGGGTGTACGCGCATCTTGGTCGTGTGAATGACGCTGACAGCGTCGATCTGTGCTTGCCATCGGGTCGATCTGGCAGCTCAGCTGTCAGCGGTCGGAACGAGAGAAGAAGGTTCGATGGCCCTTGCTGAGACTTCGCGGTACTTACGTATAATCACCGTTACGGCTGCTTTCGCTGTTGTCCACACTGCATAGGTTGTTAGCCAGGGTGTACGAAGCTTGAGATGAGAGGAGGGGTGGAACAGAGGAACGGACATGATCATGGTAGCTTCCATCTTGGCGAGGGTTTGGCGTTACTAGGAACGACGGCAGTGATTGATATAAGTAACAGGAGGTGATAGCTTTAGGCGCTATAAATGCCGAAAATAGGAAGATGTTGTGAGTAGATGGAGAGGAAATGATTGGAGGAGTGGATGAAGATGAAGATTGATGGAGGAGAGTGAGAGCTGCGGTGCTGGAGAGAGAGGTAACTTACGGGACGGGGACTGCAGTGCAAGATGTCACACCCTCTCCCGGTCGGAGCTAACCACGAATTAAGTCAGCACTTCAATCAAGGTTGTTTATCCTCTCTCTCTTACACTCTCTCCCGCCTGCCAACTCTTCCGCTTTCCTCCCTCCCTTCAATTCAGACGCACTTCTCGACACAATCATCCTTCTGGCTCCGTTCCAGCCTTTGAAATTTGCATTGAATATCCTGCACGTCTACGGACAAGCGATCGCTAGCAACCTATTTCAAGCCCAATGGCGTCCCTTGCCTCCAAACGCAAGTCCCCCGAGGACGCGTCCCACAACGAGGAAGCCATCACACCCACCAACAGCCCGCCTAAGAAGAAGCTTCGGATTACACGCAACCAGAAACAGGCTCTCATTGATAACCTCCAGCTCGAAAGTACGCTTCCAAGGACAGCACAATCTTCATCCCTCGATTCCGGTACTAACCGCTGTCGCAGTCACCGAACGCGCCCGCAAACTCCGTGCTCAGTATGCTCTCCAAGCCAACGACCTACGCGCCCGGATCGAGCGACGCATCAACCGAATCCCCATCGCACTCCGCAGAGCCAACATGGGCGAACTACTCGAGAAACACATGAGAGCACACCAAGAGAACACATCCCCACGCAAGCTGCTCAGCCCAGCCAAAGCATCCCGGAACTTCGCAACCATTTCCGCTAGCCCCAGGTTGCGCAAAGCGACGACTGCCAGTCCCAGCTCCCGCAGGGTACGCAAACAAAGGTACGGCGTAAGATGATATACCCTCTCCGAGTCTTCCCCGAGGGAAAGGGGGACTTGATATCGTGGTGGTTCCATTCACTGACCCTGTTTCCCCCCAAAACCAGCCACGAGGGCATCTATTCCGATAAAGAGAACGCGCCCGCCCCCGGCGGGGAGTCGCTCGACGTGCTCAAGAACCCCAAACGCCGGGCCAAACCCGGAGCAGCAGCGGGAACCTCGCGGGTGGTGTCGCAGGAGATGAGGGGCGCCAACGACTACCGGATCCTGTCGCCCAAGACCTCGAACTCGCGGACGTACCCCCAATCCCCTCTACGCGTCGCCTCGCCTGAGAAACCCAACCACCACCCCCATCCCACATCGTCCTACCTCTCCCGACCCATGTCCCCCCTCAAGCCCTCCAGCCCGCTCAAGGGCACCTCCGCCAGCATGCCGGGCCTGCGGTCCGTTCGCGGCACCAACGCGCCCTCGACATCCGTCGTCAGACCCTCGTCCCAAGCAGCCACCAGACGCCCGGCAAGCCGCGCCGCAACCACGACAAGCAAGACCCTGCGCTCGCCCTTGCCGCGGCCCGCGACGCGCCAGGTCGACCGCCGGGACAGTGTCTCCTCGTCCGCCTCCTCCGGCACCACCGTGGCGGCCAAGCCAACCCGGACCCTCACGGGCAGCAAGAAGTCCGCCGGTGGTGCCACTGCGTCCGCGACTGCCTCATCCGCTACCCGGAAGAATACGGGCGGCCGCACCCAAGCCTCCGCGGCCGTCGCCGCTAAACGCAACGCCGCATCAGGAACAACGACCAAGCGAGCTACCACCCCGGCCGGCGGTGAAGCCGCCCCCGCAGCCGGCCGGAGGGTTCTGCGCAAGCGAGCCTGATAGGAACCTAACTTCCGGCCTTTGGTTCTTACTTACGACCTAAGTCATTTTGATACCTTCCATTGTTGCTTTGTATATGATTGGAGTTCCGCGTGGTGTTGTGCTTGATACCGGGGGTCGTGCGATTCAGGAGTTAATTTTAGGTATCGAAGGCGTATAGGGGGCTTGGGGTAAATCATTTGGAGTTTTCATGTCAATTACAGCTTCTATCGTTGTTCTGGTTTTGCTCAACGCATCGGATCAATTATCGAGAGACATTACCAGGTGTCATGTTTGTCCTTGTTGAATTATGACTGTGTTTACTTGGATCCAGCATGCATTTGCCTGTTAATTACCCTCAATGTCTCTTTGACAGCATCGATACCGCTCTCAGAGCATGGAACACTAAATTTCATAATCTCACACTGTCAAGCCTATCAAAGTGGCAGCTACTATAATAATGTCTTTCATTCATAGTCGCTAGTAAATTACACCTCTTTTTTTTGAGGGCAGGCGGGGGCTGAATGAGAAAAGAAAAAGGGAAATAAGAGGGGACGAGAGAATAGAAAGACATCACATGGGATGGAGAGAAGAAAAAAAAAGACACAAACAAGTCGGGATATCAGCTGGGGGTTAGGTCGTATGGTTTTGGAGTGGGAGAAAGTGGAACAGAATGGATATAGAAGAGAAGGGATGAAGCAAGTGAAAAAAGGTAGAAGAAGAGAAGAGAAAAGAAAATATCGTATGACTCGGCACAGGTATCTTCGCAGTTGATCTGGAACTGCCTGAGAAAATGAAATAAAGTAAAGAAGAAAGCTGCCCTCTCCTCGCTAGTGCGTCCCACTCAGAATAATCTCACACGACAGTGGAATGGAAGTTAGTAAGGCACAAGATTGCGAAACACCATGGTGTTCAAGAAATCAGAAAGAAAAGAAAAAGAAATCTAGGGAAGGGAAAGAAAGGAAATGCCCCTGGCATTGTATGCTTTGGGTCTCGAGCTGTGAAAACGCAAAGGGCTGCAAGGCAAGGCTTTGAGATAACAACGGGCGAGAAAAGAAAAAGATGGGTAAGATGGAAAAGATGGGACAAGAGTGACCCCAAAGTCCCCCAGAATATGAACCTAACAAGGTCACGACGGACAGACGGACCTCCGTAACTAGCCCATCGAGGTAGAAAGCAAATTAAGGGTGCAGTGAATCGTACTGGGACCCACGGCCAATGCAAATGCGCTTCAAGTTGCCAGAGCACAAAAGACAAGGTAAGAAGAAAAGAACAACCATCCGCCAAGAGAATCTTCGAGCCGACTGTTTTGGCAAATATCGATAATCATCTCAATTCAAAAGGTGAAAGAAACTCCATCCAACCATGTTATATCGAATAAACGCTGAACGGCCCAGTCATACGCCAAGAGCATTCTTTGGAGCTCAAACGAGATATTGGCGATTATTGTATCAGGAAAATATCTTCGAGACTATGCGGAAAAGTGACAGTGTGGTGCCATCGCCGATAACAAAGGCTAGCTGTTATTTTAGCCCGCAACACCCATAGGTCCCGCGCCTGGACGGGGTCGGTAAGGCATCGGGTGGCCTTGCCCATCAGGTTGGACGGTGTTTTGCTGGCTGCTATTACTCGTGCTTCGCTCACGGTAATCTTTAGCCGATGCAGGACCAAGGTCCATACCGGTCTGACCGGTGCTTGTAGAGTGGCCAAGTCCCCCAGGGCTTTGGACGTGGCGAACTGAGCTCTGTGCCTGCCAAGCCGCATCTTGGGAGGCGTCCGTTTCAATGCGTGCAGACGTAGGAATGTTCGCTCCGCGAGTAGAATTGGTAATTGTGACAGTCTCGCCACCATTGAGGGGCTTTTGAGACATACTGCCTCGTGCAATGTCCCCATAGCGCTTGAGGATATCTTTGGTAGTCACCTCGCTATTCTCTTTGAAGAAGGTAGGGTCGTTCAGGACTGATTGCAAGTCTTCCGGAATCTAAAAAAATTGTTAGAAGGCAGCAGTACAACGAAGGAGAAGCTGGACAGCATACCTCGCACATAGTATCATTGTATGTGATCAGAGAGTTGACAGCCTCAATTGCCAGGAAGCTCTCGTCCACGGTACTGGCCTTGGTGTTGGGATAAAGTATGTTCGGTGTTATCACAGTTGCCAAATTATGAATGTCCATCTTGCTACCGGACTCCTCATCGACATGTGAGAAGGATGAAGTCCAGTTCAGGAAGGCGAACAAGACTTCCATGGTATCACGATGAGCTTTGGGAAGCAAGCAGCAGGTGAGATGCAAGAGGCGCTTTTGTTTCTCAGGATCAGAGATCTCTGTGGCGACGTTAACAAGCCGGACATTGCTGCGAAGGGCCATCAAACTTACTTTGAGATACCACAAATAAGCGGTGCAGCTTGAATGTCATGAGTGGATCTGGCATCTCACGAAGGAACTTCTTGAGGAGGGCCGCAATCTGGACAGGGTTCTCCTTGGTGAGATCTACCTGTTCATACCTGTTATCGATCATCTCGGTGAGTTCCTTCAGGCGCCTAATGTTGCCATTCTTTCGGAAAACACCCTCGACAGACATGTCCATTTGGCGCATCGCAGAGACAGCATCATCAACGAGGGCAGGAATGCGAAGCGCTCCTGGGCCAACACCGTGACTAGACTCTGTACCTTCTTTCTCAACAAGGAAGTCGAGGCTGACGCCGAAGACACCCTTCTTCTTCCCACCTTTCTTCGCTTCCTTGTTGAAAGCTCGACCAAAGATATTCCAGATCGTGGGTTTGCGCGACTCAATCAACGAGAGAAGTTCTTCCAAAGTAAAATTCCCATCTAACAATGGCTCCATGGACAAGACCGCAACATGTCGGACAATGAAGTACTCCAGAGCAGAAAGTTCCGAAAAGTACTTCTTAGTCCGCCCTGACTGCTCGATCAGATGCTGCTCTAAACCTGCACCCGAAACGCCACGCTGATGACCGTAGTTGTACTTTGGAAGAGGCTCGGTGGTGCCAACAAGCTTGGTGCCGGCATGCTTATAAGCATTGGGCCGTTGTTCCTTGGCTTGTTCGGCCGCAACGATTCTAGGAATATCATCCAAAGTCAATGCGTCCTGATTGCCAAATGTCAGCTCAGTGACCGTCTCTCCGTTGGCATCTTTTTCCTCTACAATCTGAAATCCATGGCCCCGTGGATCCGAGGCCTCGCCACCTGATGATCCCGGCCGCACGCTGCGACCCTCTGGTCCATCAATTATTCGAGAAGCTCGAGCCTTTCTGTAAGTTGTTGACAGGGTGCGCTCGTTCCGGATAGATCGCAAGCGTCGCATTTCGCCCACAGTCTGTTCGAGTGACGAGCCCTCGGGACTGTCTTTGACGGCGTTTGCATATGACTTAGCCCTTGTGCCTGACCTGCGCATTTCACCCCCAGGTGGGATTCGACCACTATCGCTACCGCTTTGTGGGCCTGCATTGGGATCGTCTATCGAACGGTAAGTGTCTCTGTATCTCTGTGAGGTGTCGAAGTGACTGGCCGTCATAACCTACCAGAGAATGTTCCTCCAGCTCGTAAAACGGCGAGGAGTCGCGCAAGAGCAACTCTCAAAAGAAAGATAAACTGCTGAAGTTTGGTCACATGGATGAAACCTCCCTGTGTTTCCTGGTTAAGACCATTCTTGGTAACACAGTCGTTGCAGTATGCCCGCTTTTCCTTCCGATTGTACAGCGAATCCTGGATGGTGCTCGTTAGATCCTTCTGACAAGATACACACGAGAAGTGTGGCGGCTTGATATGCCACCTGCTATCGCCAAGCATGACGCATTCATCGTCAATGGGTTCCTTGCACGACGCACAACAATCAGATAGCTGGTCTGCGAGAACATCGACCCCGACCATTAAATCTGCAGTCGTCTCTTCTTCGTCGAGAGGCCGGAGTGCTTCCAAGTCTCCCAAGTGGTCTAGGAAGTGGTGAAGACCTTCAGGTGTTTGCTTTTCTCTTTCAAGTTTGAGGGCTCCTTGGAGACCAATACGAATGAGAAGTTTGAGGTAATGAGCGAGTCCAGTGACCAGTGAAAGGAGTTCTTGAGTAACGCCCAGTTTACGCACGCCAGCTTCCTGAGTCTTGGAGAGTAATGCAAAGAAGGCAACAATCTTCTTACACAGAAGTTTTGCTTCACGCCCATAAGCCAGGTCTAGGTCTGGTGATCAGCGATCGTCTTTTTGTTAACAGGGCGAGACGAGTGTATCGCAGCCGCTTACCTTTCATGCCTTGTGTCTTGATGTTTGTCGCAAGCTGGTCAATGGCAGAGAAGAGGACATCTACATGCCCAATGAACTTTTTTGCAACAAAAACACCATCAACATAGGTGCCATTGCTGACATGGAGAAGCATATCCGAAATGCACGCAGCAGATGACTCCTCAAAACTGGACAATATGCTCCAAATTCTGTAGACCTTTTCCTCCATCACGTCTTCCTCGTCGCGTACTCTGTTGCGTTCCTCGTCAGTGGCGTCTAGGTCCATCTCAGGCGGCTCCAGGACTTGGCCGGTCGGAGCCAGTCGGACATTCCAGAATTTGTGGATCATGTAACACTCAGGGTGCCAGTGCTGATTCTGACCGTTGCGAAAGATCTCGACGAATTGTTTCAGGATTGCCGTGTGACAACCATGACAGCGTTGAGCGAATTGAGTAGAATAGTGAAAATGACAGTAGACTTTACCCTCGTGCTCATAGTATGAATCTTGCGCGCCAAAAACGGTGGGACAGACAGAGCAGGTGAAGTGCTCGATGTGATACTTGCGTTCCAATGCTGTAATATATGAACCACGTAACGCACCACCGCATTCATGACAGAGAAGATCGAGACGTCGAAAATAGTCTGTCTCACAAAGAGGGTATTGCCCGTTTCCATCTTCAGCATCTACAGGAAAGAACTTGGACGCCACTATTTGACCACAGTCCTAAACCCAACGGTGTCAACAGATAGACGACAGCCATTGTTTAGACATGGTGCACTCACCTCGCACTTGAAACATTCTAGATGATATGTTGCAAGCAGAGCTCGTACGAATTGGCCCGTGAGCGGTTCACCGCATTTTTTGCAAATCCGCGACGAGCTGCCAGGAGACTTCGTGGGTGGTCGGCCATTGGGGCGGGATCTTTCTCGTGGTGCAGATCTGTCCCAGTAACCATTACGATCTCTTGGTGTTGACGGATCTCTCGAGCCAGGGTGGCCAGACTCCAAGCGCCGGCTCATTCGACCGTCTGGGTTCTGTGCTCCATCGACCGGGCTATTGGTGGACCCGTTCCATCCTCCTGTCCTTGTGCGAGGCGAGTCGAAAGCAATGTTACTGTCTGCAGGGGAGGTTGGGGTTTGCGACTGAAAACTACCACCGCCATATCCACTGGTGTTGAGTTTGGGGCGGACAGCCCCGTTGCCCGGCACGAGGCTGTCCGGCAAAGGAACGTCGCCGGGAGGCATGTTCATCGAGAACTATGCCTTTGAGGTGTGGCTTGATTGGGCAAACCAGGATCTGCAGTCGAATGTTGTGGACTATCCCGAGGTAGACGGCACGGCCGCTATGGTTGGAGTAGGAGAAGCTGGGTCCCAGGAGAGGGGGAAGGGACAACGAGATAATAGACGTATTATGTGACTGCTGCAGAGGCACTAATCGTCGAGATTGCTTATCAGGTAAATACTGTTGACCTTGACTGTATGCAACGTTAGTCTCTGAGGTAATCGTCCCAAGTTTGGTGCGCGGGGTTCGTAAAGGGAGTTAGCGACCTTTTCCGTAGCAACACTCCTCACGCCATGTAGATGAGACTTGCGGGGAAACTAGAAAACAAGGGAAAACAGGGCGCAAGATTAGAGCTGGTCAAGAAGAGAAAAGCGCTCGGAAAAACAGGAGATTATGCGAAATTATCGAGGGAAAGAGGATTCAAGATGCGCAACCAGCTGTCGTCGAGGGAAGCGGAATGGGGAAAGGGTTGGAGCTCAGAGTGAGACCAACAAGCGGCGGAGTGCGCTGTCTGGAATCACAACCATTCCTAATCCCTTTCAACAAGGCGTATTTGTAGAGGACCACCAGAGCCCAGGAAGAGACGAGAGGGATTTGGATAGCAAAAGAAAAAGAAAGGAAGTCGAGTCCCGGTCTCTGGGACCTAAGTGGAAGGGAATAGGAGCGAGGAGAGGGGATCGCGTGTTTGGAGGAGGGTGGGTGTTGTTACTGCTGGGCACTTTGTCGCTCTCCTCCCCTCTCTTTCTTCTTCCCCCCCTATGCCCTCCTCCCATATTATTGCTGGGCACTCTCTGCCCACTAGAAAAGGTCACGTGAGGTGAGTCACCGCCTCATTCACCGCCTGCGATGGACGGGTGGGAATCCCCTATCCCGCGTTGTGTATCCATTACTCTACCCGGCAACTGAACCCGAAAAATAACAACAACAGTCTGAAGGGTTGAAAGAGGCTGAGGCTGAGGCAGATGCAGATGCAGAAGATTACCAGCGAGGATTGGAGAGGATTTAACGTCAACATAATCCATGGATGGATGAATTTAAAGAATCATTTAAGCTTAGTTGTCACCAGACAAACGGCACAACCCCATCAGATGGTTTAGTCTTGTTGGCTAAAAAAAGCCCCTGGTCAGCCAAAAATAGCCAGCGCAACAATTGTTCAGGCAGAAACAGACCCTGTAAATTCTGGCCAAAGTGGAGACTAGATATATACGGAGTACTCAATATAGATTAAGTGGTCCCCTTGGATCCTATCTTTGGATTTCGCTCGGAGTAAACGATGATTGCCCTGACAATTAACCCCTATGTGATATGCTTTTCACCCCGGCCGATCGAAGACTTGTCTAGGAACCTTGCAAATCATAAGTTACTCACGAGCTTCGCCTTGTGGAACCCCCCGATTTAGAATCTGGTTCAATTCCCGTCTAGCTTCCCGACCGCCCGCAAGTATCTTATCGCTTCATTCCGATTGCGCTATGCGCTCCATGTCTTCGACCCCCTTCGCCGTATCTTACTTCGCGGCCCACAGGCACAACGTCTCTTCTATTAGCAGCTATCTCTCCTCCAGGCCTATAGGGCTCAGATCTCAGAGTCGCGATTCGGCCTTTGCTTGGCAGAAAGCAAGAACGGCTATATCGCAGGTGGTAGGCAGAAAGCACGAGTTGGCAGTTTCTTAGCCTAGAACATCTTGACAGAAGACAAAACATCCCGTAAGCTCATGTACTTCTGATACTATACCTCAGAAAGTGCTTGCGGAAGACACCATGCTGCCACAACGAGGCGAGACCTATTGGTTAAGAAATCTGCCTATACAATAAAGCCGGGGCGGTCGCGGGAAGTCATGACAGTGTTCACATTAGAAAAATATTTAGATATGCTACAGGTGACATTGTCTCACAGATCCATATAGAACACAGCACCTCACAGCCCATATCACTCCTGATTTCTTCCTTCAATATCATACATATAAGCTATCTATTGCCTCTGCTCTCGTCTAATATGACAAGGGAGGTGAAGACATAAGGTAGCACATAGTCGCTTGTGGGCGGTGAGGTAAATATACTTGGGAACAGTCCTAGGGCCAATGTGTTTGCGCTCTACGGCTGGGCTTCATTAGTTGAGATGAACAAATGCGAATCTCGTGTAATGAGCATGATTCTGGCAACTGTTGCAGCTTCTTCATCATAAGGTACTGTAGTCAAATTACTTATTCCAATATAAAGGAGTGGTTGGTTCAGACACTGCCTTTGTTCGTCGGGGCAGGCACCCGTCGCCGACGGTGCCTACAACTCGCCCACTCACCCACCACCCATCCGGCAGAACAAGCTGCACTCTCATCTATCCACTAACTATAACAAACTGTTATTCACCAACTATGCAAATGCCTTTTGGGACCTTCCACTTCAACCTCTTGCCCACTTCGGAAAATCATTTTCCTAGACCGGATAGAAATATTCTCTACACTTGATTTCAGTTTCTTTCAGACAGTTTCTAAAATCCCCTCATCCTGATCTCATCGACCTTTCCCCGCGCGCGCTCGAACTTGAATCAAAATCTATCTCACGCTCCTTCCGATAGCTTCAGAAAAACTTTCTAGTCGACCAACAAGCTCATCGACTACTTTATACGTGCTTTGCCTCCCCGTCAGGATGTCGAATCAGGCGATCCTACGACTTACAAGGGTATACTTGTTCCTTTGTTTGTCATGAGCTCACTTGACTGATGAAATGTCTTTGAGAGATTATAGGAGATCAAACAGGTCCAGCAAGGGGCAGACCTATGTGAGTATTTCATCTCTCCATGAGCGCATATACGCCTCAGTGGACCTGAGCACTGGAAGACGTTCAAACTTGCTGACGAGTAGGGCTTTGTGGTCTTCATATAGCTCTGGCTGTACACTACGATGATTCAGATATCCGAAATGTACATGCTCTCATTGTCGGGCCTCCTGATACGCCATATCAGTTTGGATTCTTCGAGGTCAGGCTTCGTTACCTGCCTTCTTTCTTTTTATTCCAGTGCTAATCGGGTCTCAACTGTCTAGTTCTCAATCAAGTTTGGGAGGGGTCAGCAAGCCTGCCCAACTAAGACTATTTTCACTCCTGACAATTCGCAGACTACCCTACCCACCCGCCAAACGTTCGAGCCTTAACGACAAACTGTGGCCGGTGCCGGTTCAACCCCAATATCTATGCTACGGGCAAGGTTTGCTTGTATGTTTCCCCTAGCGACTGCATGAGGGTTCTAATAACTGATAAGTTGACTCAGATCGATCCTTGGGTAAGAAGCCTGACAATCCATCGGCGTTAGACCTGGCTGATAACGTCCTCGCAGAACATGGCGCGGATCACGCGAAGAGCAATGGTCGTCTGCACAGGGCCTCGAGTCGATCCTGATATCGATACAAAGCTTGATGTCCTCCAATCCCTACGAGAATGAACCTGGGTTTGAGGTTGCAAGGTCGGAACATGATAAACGAAACTCGAAACATTACGTTGCAAAGGTGAATTCTGTCTTCTCCACACTTTGCTGGTAGCTGCCAAGCTCTAATTTACATAAAGATCCGCCACGAGACACTTCGGCTTGCGGTGATCGAGCCACTGGAGGCGTCTCTGAGTATCACCCCTTCAAGCGATGCGAGTACTTCACTCAGTGATAACGAGGAACGGGAACTGTTGGAGGAAGACAAGCCCTCTTCCGTTCCTTTCGTCGATTTTCGCAAGAGACGTTTCTTGTGGTATTTTAGCGCCTACATGCAGTCAATAGATGCTGCCATGCTGGAAAATCCACGTAAACAGAAATTCACAAGGATGCCCTTCGAACAGGCCAACAATTCGATGGACGGCCACTTCGATTATGCTGAGCTGAAGCAGCGGCTGGTGGTAATAAAGACTGCACTTAATGAGGAAAGCTCCAACTGGTCTGCCGAAGGCCTGATGGCCAAAGAGCAGGAGTGGGGCATTGCAGTAAACCTACAGCGCCAATTCGAACAGATTATGGAGAGCATGAAAAGCCAGAATAACTTCACAATCGACCTGAATTTGGTTGACGACAATCCGTTCGTGTGGAAGCTCATCTACTTTGGCAAGCCCATGACGCATCTGGATGGCGGTATATTTGAGATCGATATACGCCTCAGTCCCAAGTTTCCAGAGGTGCAGCCGCGAGTTTCCATGAGAACTTCCTTCTTCCATGTTCGTGTAAGCCCAGATGGTGTCTTGTGCTATTTCCCTCAGCGGTCGGAGGAAATGCGATACCATATCGACGGTATCGTGGCAGCTCTGGAGGAAGAAAACCCGCCTTATGATCCACGAACAACAGTGAACCCTGAAGCCTCTCGATTATTCTGGGGAACGCCCGAGGATCGAAGAAGATACAACCGCGAGTTGAGACGCTCACTTGAGAGAGCATTGGAGTAAGCTTGCGGTAATGCTTGAATGTTCCTAGCTTCGTCGACGCTGCGAGGCCGTGACAGACCCAGATTGCTGGTTAGGTTCTACTCTATTCCGACGAAAAAGGCTGTCACGGCTTCGACATATTTTTCTAGAATGACATTCAGTGACATCAACTCTCCCTTGTACTTTGAGATTTGCGCGCTTCTGAGAATGATTCTACAGGGATATGAATGGACGGGCGATTGCATTGCCATGTTGGAGAGATGGGTGTTTACTGTGAGTGGCGTATGATTTTGAAAAGTGGCGGCTGGGAAAAGAATGCTTTTGCAATGTCCTTTCTTTGAAGAGTTTACGTTCCATTACTTGCATTAGTAGCCTTATCTATAGTTACATGCCAGAATGAACACTAGAAGAATGCAAAGATAGGTAGTCTCGTTATCATGTTAGCCTCAGTCATGGGCGATTCATGTGTGGCATTTCTAGCGGGGAGGCCCGAGCTTTGATCCGGAGATTCTGGAGGCGGACCTCCAATCCGTCTTCCGTCTGGTCCACGCCGCCCAACCAACTAACTCGATCGCTCCGTCTCCTTCGCCCTCTTTTCCTCTCCCCCCACACCATTTACCGTACGGCTGTTTTCGGCATTCCTCCATCATGTCTACTAAGCGGTCTACTCTCGAATTGGGCAATGTTCTGGTGGTTGGAGGCTGCGGCTTCCTGGGATGGCATATCGTGGACCAATTACTCAATTTCCCCTCGGAAACCGATCCCAGTGTCGCACTTCCCAAGCCGCAAGATGATACTAGATTCGACTACCCCAAGCTGGGTGATCGATACCCTCGATGCATAGCAAAAGTCTCCGTTGTTGACCTCCGGACAACGAACAATCGTCTTCCTGGAGCCGAGTACTACGATGGAGACATCACCTCTGTCGAGTCCATGCTGTCCGTTTTCCGCGCCGTCAAGCCGGACGTCGTCATTCACACCGCTACCGCGAACGTGTTGGAAGGGAACAAGCCGTTACTGCGCAAGGTCAATGTCGATGGGACCAAGACATTGCTGGAGGTTGCGGGTGGTGAGCGTGGCGACTGGGGCGGAAAGTGCAAGGCGTTTGTTTACACGAGTTCGAGTTCCGTGGTCCATGATACGCAGAGTGACCTGATCAATGTCACGGAAGAATGGCCACTTATCAGGGGACCATTGCAGCTGGAGTACTATTCAGAAACCAAGGTGCGTTCGAAAGCCCCTGGGCATTGCCCCTCCAAACCGTTTCATAAATAAATTGCTAATCAGATCATGTGTTGCGGGTAGGCCGACGCCGAAGAAATCGCCTTGAAGTATAACCGCGCCTCGCCCTCTGGAATGGTCACCTGTGCTGTTCGCCCCGCTGGCATCTACGGTGAGAAGGACACGACATTCACATTCAAGATTCTGGAACACGCTGCCAAGGCTTCGCCAACCGTCCTCCGAATGCAGTTGGGAGACAACAACAACCTGTTCGACTTCACATACGTGGGCAATGTCGCCTACTCGCA